ATGAGCTGGCATGCCCCACTTTGGGAAATGGATTTTGGGGTAAGTTGGGCTGCCCCACTCTGGGAATTGGATTTTGGGCTGATCTGGGATTCCCCGCTTTGGGAATTGGATTTTGGGGTGATCTGGGATCTCCCACTCAGGGAATTGGATTTTGGGGTGATCCGGGATCCCCTGCTCTGGGAATTGGATTTTGGGCTGATCTGGCTGCCCCACTGCCCGGCAGGAGCCCGGAGGAGCAGAGCAGAGCCAGCAGAGCCATCTGTGTCCCCCCTGTCCCTGTCCCTGTCCCTGTGCTGTGCCTGTGCTGCAGAGCAGGCAGGGATGGGGCTGGAGCACCCCAAACTGGGATGCAGCTCCCAGCCCTTTGCCAGAGGATGCCAGAGGGTGCTGGGAGGCAGGAGGGATTCAAGCAGCCCTTTTATGAAATACCCAGTGCATTCAGTCCCCATTTCAGCCACGTTCAGCCCACAGAGGGGACTTGACGTCAAGAACCCTTAAAAATAGACATGGATGTGTAGAAGAAAAAGCAAAATAAAAGCACTCTCCTAATGCACACACAGCCTCAGTGCCAGCAGCAGCTTGTCTGCCTGCTTCCTCACAAGACAGCAGCAATTTTGGGTTTTAATCCCTTGCCTTTTGGGTTTTTTTAAAACTGAAGTAAAAACAAACCAGAAAAAGCTTCCCTCCAACTAATAACTGCTGTCTCCTGAGCAGAGTTTAGTCAAAAAAAAAAAACCCCAAAGCAACAAACCAGGAGGCTCAGCTGTAAATTTTATGATATTCACTACAGATTTTAGAGTTTAACTTTCAGGGGCTGCATTTTCCTCTCAGTACTACTGCTGATCATATTGACAGACAGGCTTTGGTAGTCAGACCTCCCAAAGCTTCCATAACTCTGCTGGAATCTAAAATTAGACAGCCACACAGTGACCAAAATACCATTTACTCCCCTTTTAAAGGGGCATTAGAGAAACTGAGTGAGTATTTGGTATCCTCACAGAAAAACACACTGCCCAGCAATGTTTTACACGTGTGTAGAGAACGTAATCCATCAAAAATATGATTTTTCGTGATAATTAAAAAGCCTCTTCAGACAAGCAATTCCTAGAGCTTTAATTCCCATCAATGGATACAGCAATTTTCAGGGAGAAGAGGAAGAAATTTTAAGTATTGTATTTTATTACCTATTAAAGGTAACCTGCATTTTATTCCAACTTCCCCCTGTAAAAATTGAGTTTTTCTGCCATCTCCAATTTATATTTTAGCAACAATGCAAGGGCTGCAAAGATGCAATCTCTGAGATATTTAACCCCAGTATCCTGGGAACTCTGCTGCAGCTCATGAGGTGTCCAGCCTGGAATTTAAAAACTCCACTTAACCCCAGCCAGATTGCAATTAATATTAATGACTTGCAGGCCAAGTTCAGCTCAACATTAAGATTATTATAAAATACTACACACTCCAAGATTTCCTGTTTGATAGCTGAGAAGTATGGAAAACTCTTCTTCATGAAATTTAAATGCACTCATTAATAAAATATGGAGGATGTGCTACTTTAAGACAGGAGGAGGAGAAAAAAAGGAGTATAAATTGGTGATAATGTTATTTCTATTTTTAAACCCATCCCACAGAGTCACCCAAGATAGATGAGAAGTGCTAAGCCCATCCCACGAGCTTATTTATTTATTTAATACTTCTTACACGCTATTTTTAACAGCAGAAGCCAGCAAAAGGCATCCATTAGAAAAATTACACTGCTGAGAGAATTCCTCACACCAGAGCAGTGGCAGATCTGGCTGGAAGCAGCCTCAGAAAAGATATTTTTTTTTTTTTAATTTTTCCCTTCCCTTTTCTGTAGGATTCTGGGATAAAAAAGCAATTTTATTTTTGCAGCATCAGCTCAGCCCGAGTGTGTGTGGTTGTCAGTCCTTCCTCACTCCCCAGCCCCTCCTCTCCCTCCTCCACTTCCTGCAAGTTTCATTTTCTCAGGAACCCAAGGCTGAACTCAGGGACAGTCAGATGGGCACGGAGGCCTTGGCTTGGGGCTTTTTTTTTTTTTTTAAAGCCCCTTATTGTACGCACAAAAATAAATGAAAAGAAATGAAAGCAAAAATGGAGCAAATAAATGAAACACCACAGCCTCTGGCATTGCAGCATTCTGCAGAAGGAAAAATTAGTGAGAAAGCTTTCTCTTTTTTTTTAAAGAGATTTAAAGGAATTTATCCAACAAATGTTGGGTTTTCTTGGGGAGATATTTAGGTTCCCAGCAGGAATACAGAGTGGCAGGCACCTCCAGGGATGGGGATCCAAACCTCCCTGGGCAGTTCCAGTGCCTGAGCACCCTTTCCATGGGGAAAATCCTACTGTGCCCACCCTGAGCCTGCCCTGGCCCAGCCTGAGGCTTCATTTTCATCCAAACTTTTTTTATAGAAGACAGAGCCTGGGCATGTAAAGAGATCCAGAGGAAAAAAAAAAAAAAAAACCAAAAAACCAAATCAAACCAAACCAAACCAAACCAAAACCAACAACAAACAAAAAAAATAAAACCACCCCAAAAGAAAAAACCCCAACAAACAAAAAAATACAACAAATAAAAGCCAAAATGAAACAAAAAAAGCAAAAAACCCCCAAAAAACAACAACAACAACAAAAAAAAAAACCAAAAACCAAACCCAAAACCAAAAAATAACCCCCCACCCCAAAAAAAAGGGCTAAAAGCTGAATTTCAGCAGTGCCAGTGTCCCCTGCAGAGCCTAGCAGCTCCATGGGGCAATCAGAGGGAACAGGATCCCATCCTGCTGCATTTCTCCACTGCTATTCCCATTCTTCCCCAATTTTGCCCAAAATGAGCTTTTTGTAACCAGAGCCCCAGAGGTTGCTGGTGTCACTCAGAGCAAGGAGAGTTTGTTTGTTTGTTCTTTCTGCCTGGGGAAAAGCTCACTTTGCATCCCTGGCTCCCTGAGTGAAAGGATTTGATCCAAATTCTCCCCCTCCATGGCACTGCCAATGCCTGGCTCAGGAATATTTGGATTTTTAGAAGCAGCAGCTTTCTCTGGACTGGGGAGGTCACACTGCATGGAGAGCTGATGCTCAAACGTGTCAGAAAGCTGGATAAAAATAAATAATGCAATTCTGTGGGTAGAAAAATCCCCAGTAAGCTCTACATCCTGGATAAAAATTCTAAATATTCTCTCTGTTTGGAATTCAGCCTCAAGCCAGGCCTGGCTTGGGCAGCAGAGCCCCTGGGTCAGCTTTGATTTCTGAGTTATTTCTGAGAAACTCTGAATATTCTGCATGTGGGCCTTAAAAAGCAGATTTTAACCTGCCAGCAGTAGGCAGGACTCGAAGCAAACTGCTGGAAAAACAAATTTAAGAGCTCACATCCATTTTTTTTTTCCAAATCTGGGAGCCTTGAAACTGCACATTAGAGAAAGTCTGTTTTCCTGAGCCACACAAGGGACTGCCCTGTGCCCCCAAAGCCAGACTGAGCCTTCCAGGCAGGATTAAACTGCTTCAACTTTGGATTTTTCCAGCTCCTCCCTCACAGTTACAAGCTGTTATGGCACTCTAACAAGAGGCAGCACAGACCCAACGTGCCAAACACCTTCTTTGCAGGATTTGATGCCATAAATTGAATGTTTTCCCCCGAAGTGCTGCTCATCTGTGCTTGTGCAACATTTCAGCTGAATGCACAACCCAAGGCTGCCAAGGCAGCTCATTAATGGGGGCTCATCAAATTCATTACAGAAATAACATCCCCCTCGCTGCTCCCGGCTCCAAATTTTCATTTGTTAAGATAATTATGTTTTTACCAGGCTTTTGTATGGTCAGAACCAGACTGAGACCCTCACAGAGAGGAACTTTCCCACATTAAAGACAATTTTTGAGGGCTGATGTGAGGGAGACACCACAGTGAAAGGTAACCTGTATTTTATTCCACCTTCCCCATGTATAAATTGAGTTTTCCTGGCACCTACAGTTGATATTTTAGCAACTAAAAACAATGCAGCAACTCCCTTAGGTCCGCAAAAATGCAATTTCTGAGCTCTTATTTCCATTTATGTGAATGGTGACTTCAAATGATCAGTGACTTCTTGCCAGCCTCCTCTCCCTGTATTTCTGTTAGGAATATAGGGAAGTGATTTATTTCAGAGCTGTGGAGAGAGGGAAATATTACTTGGAAAAAAAAAAACCCACCCAGCAAGATTCAGAATAACAAAACAAAGGGGAAAGTACCCAAAATACGAGCTTGCAGTTTATCTCACACAGGATCTAACAGCAGATTGCCAGCCCCAAATTTTTGGGAAATTTTTTCAGGCTCTTCAGAAGAGAAAGTTTAAAAAAAAAACCCAACAGTTCAAGTGCCAAAGAAACCCATAAAATCAGGAGGGAAAAATAATCTGCTTCCTTACAAAGAGAAGCTAGGAAAAAAGTGATGAAAATGGTGCCTTGGAGCATCCAGGTGCTCCAAGAGATCACAGAAAGTCCCAAGTGCTGCCTGGAAAGATCAGACTCAAGCTGAGTATCCCCATGGACCACATCATCCAATCCAACTTCAGGAACTACCAAAAAAAGCAGATTTTCTTGGTCCCTCTACTTATTAACACCATTTTGCTTGGAAGCTCTGAACAGGAGCACATCCACACCGAAACACAGATATTTTAAACCATTCCATCACTGATTTTTGGGGTGAAACCATCATGATTTTAACCTGTCACCCTTTGGAAAGGCCACATCTTTCCTGCCTGGAAAGATCAGACTCAAGCTGAGTATCCCCATGGACCACATCATAATTCCACTGCAGGAACCACCAAAAAAAGCAGATTTTCTTGGTCCCTCTACTTATTAACACCATTTTGCTTGGAAGCTCTGAACAGGAGCACATCCACACCGAAACACAGATATTTTAAACCATTCCATCACTGATTTTTGGGGTGAAACCATCATGATTTTAACCTGTCACCCTCTGGAGAGGCCACATCCTCAGGAGCTGCACCTACCATGGGGCAGTGTTATGTTTGCACCATCAATGATTGCTTGTGCCAGTTCGTGGTCGTTGCTCTCAAAGGCGTGGGCAGCAGCCTTGAGGGCATCCCAAATCTCCTTCCTGCCCTCAAAGGCCGGGGCTGTGTCCCAAAATTCATCCCTCTTACTGCGCAGCTGCCCGTCCGTCATGGGGTAATCGCTCTTCCATTTGGGTTTCTCCTTCTTCAGGGGTTGGTTACGACCAAGAGCCACTGTGGGGGACAAAGAAAAAAGGGAATTCATCAAAATAAGACCACAAAATTCCCTTGGGTTGCTCTGTTTTGGATTAACAGTATGCCTCAGGTTTTAGCTTTTATATTTTTCAGATTCTGTGCTCCTTTAGTGTGTGGGTCTGGGTTCACATCAGGGGATGGTGAGCTCTGTGCACAGAGCAGGGAGACAAAACAATTCCTGCTCCAGCTGGGCACCAAGGACAAATGATCCAAATCTCAGCCCAGGAGCACAAACCCCGTGGGCTGGAGAGAGAAAAACAAGCAGGATGGGAGTGCAGGGGCTGAGCTGGAATTGGACACTGAACTGCAATGTGCACATGGAGCAGAGCTGATCCCAGGGAGAGACCCCGTGAGCGCTCGTGCATTTTGGGACCATTTGGGTTCATCTTGGCTGCAGCCCTGGCTGGGCTCTTGTGCTGCCCAAGGTGCATCCATTGGGGAGATCTTTTTAATTAATCCCTGCTTTATTCTGGAACTCTGTCTGGTGTCTGCTCTAGCTCAGCCTTCCCAAGGCATCACAGAGCTGAATTTGCAAGCCTGGTCCTTTTTGTTCATCACCTCCCAGGTGATGCAGTGGGAGGGGTGTTATTCATATACTGCTCATGGTTCAGATCTTCATTTCCTGAGAGAATTATGTTTTTACAGTCTTGTATGGTCAAAACCAGACTCAGAGTCTCCTCAATTTCCCCAAGAGGTCAAAGCACCATGGAGCTTCGGAGAAGGGAGGTGATATGGATGTGGGCCATGCAATTGTTACTTGCTACTTCTAATTAGGAGCTGACTTTGTTTCTGTGCAAATTCATCCTCCTGCTTGTTGATTTCCCCTGGAAATCCAGGAATCCATCAAGGTTTAAAGAGCATTTTCCTCCTTCTCAATAAACACAACCCCATTTGTTTCCCTTTAACTACAGCTATTTTTGTGTAATAGCCACTTTGAGGTTATCACAGGTATAAAAGTTGACAGATTAAAACTCCCTGCTCTCATCCCCATCAGTGCCTGGGGCTGCAGCAGGAGATTCCAAGCTCACAGAGGTTTTAAGGAGACCAAAACCCCTGACAGGAGGTTAATCCACACACCCTTATTCAATCTGACCCCGTATGACCAAGGAATGATCAGCTTCCTTTGCTAGCTCAGGATGACAGACACGTTCATGAACCTGGAGTGTAAGTCATGGAAAAGAGAAGTTTGAAAAGGATTCGTGCTGGAATGAGCTTTCTTTGGGTTAAAAACCACGGGAGAATGGGTTGGGTTGGAAGGAACACTAAAGATCATTTAATTCCACCCCCTGCCATGGGCAAGGACACTTCCCACTATCCCAGGGTGCTCCAAGCTGCCAGGGATGGGGCCACACAGCCAAGAATTTCTTCCCAATATGCAATCTACGCCTATTCCCTGTCCGTGTGAAACCATTCCCAGAATCCTGTGCCTCCATCCCTTGGAAATCCTCTCTCCATCTTTTCCTTTCTCTCCATCTGCAGCTCCTTCAGTCCACACTGAGATCACCCCAAAGCCTCTCCTCTCCAGGCTGAACAATCCCAGCCCTCCCAGCAGAGCTGCTCCATCCCTCCAATCCTGGTGGCCTCCTCTGGAGGATGCATCTGCACAGAAACGAAAAGTCAGCTCCCAATTAAAAGTAGCAAATGACAATTGCATGGCCCACATCCACCGACTCCAGCTGCTCCTTGTGTCCCACGCAGAACCCAGAATAATAAACTGCTGAGCCCTTTCAAGTGACCACAAGCATTTACTGCTTTTTGTTTCCACGGGATTGCTTCCATGGGACGGCTTCCATTTGCTTTTCAAAGGAGTGCTGACCATTTAGCAGATTGCAGAGCAGCAAGCCCCAGTGTTTACAAAACACCAAGTTTCCTGGCAGAGCCCAGCCTTTCCCAGTCCAAGGCTCAGCTGAGCACACGAAGCCTGGAAGATGATGCTGGGGCAGCCTCAAGCAATGGGGCTGTGCATTAAACCCTGTACATGCTAAAATTCTAAAAACATATGTGGGAAAACACTCCAGCAAGGAATTGTTTCCTTATTAAGGCTCAGCAGCCAGAGGATGACATTTTCAGCCAGACAGAACAGGACACACTGCAAGAAATTTGGGTCAGTGGATATCTTTTTTTCCATTCCACTTTAGCTCACATCTGTTTGCATCCACTCAATGGATGCTGATTTGTCCCACAGGGCCCTCTCCCTGTCCCCAAACATCAATTATGGAAGCAGGTTAAAGGCACTTCCCGCAGCCCACTGCTCTCCCTGCTTCCCCCTCTGCCCCAGACAGCACCCAGATTTATTAAAAATTGATTTATCCTCACTCCAGCAAAGGCTCAGATCCTCACAGCCCCCAATAACTCCTCCCTGGAGATCCCATCCTTCCCACACAGACAGCAGTGATGATAAACCTGGTGATAAATTCTCTTTTTTCCTGAGCTGGAAGGAAGGATGGTGGAAGAAAGGGACTCTCCAAATGGCTCAAAAGCCAAATCCACTCTAGCAAGCCATCCATCCCAATACTGAGCCTTTAAACACAACTTGGCTTCAGCACAAGCCAGTATTTAAAAAGATCTTTGGCGTGTTTATCATTTAATAGAAGTGCCTCAAGGATCCCCAAAAAGCTTTATGCCTTCCCTGAAGAAATATTCATTATTTAGCTCTGTGGATAGACTGGGCAGAAAGGATGAAAGAAACTTATGCCATGTAAAAAAATAATGTGCAAAAAGGCCCAAATATTTCTCTTTCCAGCCCATGTTTTAGTCACTAAAGCAAAACATGCGAATTTCTACAACCAAACTTTTGGACCACATCAAAGCACTTTCCCTTTTCTGTTAACAAGGCTGATAAAGAAACAAACATCAACAGTCTGAACCACTTAAAAGTATTTACAGTGTCAGTTTTCTGTTCCTCACTTCGGAAGGAAATTGGAGCTCAAAAGGAAACCTTGACTTCATTTAAGACCATACACATCAGAGGCACCACCAGCTTGCAGGATCCAGAAGAGAAAGCAGCATCCACATTAATTTTTCATCTTACATCACTTCAACATGAGTAAGAAATTATTAATACCCTGCTGGAAAGCAGGAATTGTTTTCCAAATGCCAAGAAGAAGGCACGTTCTCTCTGAAGCAATTCTCCAAGTCACCCTCTCAGCAGAGGCCAGCGGTTGATATTTTTGGCAAGGGATTTATTTAGAAGGGAATACGGAAATCAGCACTGGTCTACTTTTCAAGAAGTGAAATATCAGCAGCCACACTTCAAAATGAGCTAGGCTGTTGTTCCAACAGCTCAGGTGTGCAGGTGGTGCTGTGCAGGGTAAGAAATGCACAGAGTTTAGGGTGGAAAAGCCCTCCCAGCCCACGGAGTCCCAGCTGTGCCCCATTCCCAGCCCAGAGCCCCGAGTGCCACTCCAGGAATTCCCTGGGCACCTCCAGGGATGGGGATCCAAACCTCCCTTCGTGTCTGCTTGGAAAAGTGGTGATGGATCAAAGACTGGACACAAACTCTTCTGAAAGTTCTTTTCCAATCCTAATGATTGTTTAGTGCCCCAAAGTAGTGGCACACAAGCCCTGGGCTGTTCCTGTAGGATTTAGCAGCATTACCTGTTTTTCCTTCACGGGCAGAGTGCAGGATCCTCGAGGCAGCTGCTCCTGCCTGCCCCACTGAACTCCTGGCAGGCTAAAAAGTCTTCTTTTTCAGGAGGAAAAATGTATTTCTGCAATTCTTGCAGACTGTTTTATCACCTGAATGGTAAATTTATTTCCCTTCCCCGCAGCTTCCCATCAAAGCAATGAATCTGTAAGGTTATCTCTGCTCCTTATGCAGATAAACCCAGATATTTAAATCAGTTTCTTAACAGAATGTCAAGAAATGTCTCTGTGGAAGCTCTTTGGAGCAGCTGGTGTGTTTGTTATGCTGCTATCACTGTGGATATCACTGTGGATATCACTGGTGCCTCTTCTGAGGGGGACCAGATGAGCAGGAGCAGCTGCTACCACAGGATTCTTGTATTAAAAGCCAATATCCAGCTACACAATCCATAATTCCTAATTTATACCACCCAAATTACAGCACTCCATCGTCAAATTTGGAATATCTCAGCCCCAGAGGGTTTTGTGCCAAATCAGACGTGGCCAAGCTGAGCCAAGGGACAGCTCAGAGCTCTGGAGAAGGGAGGATCTCTGCTTCAGGGGTGACCTGCATCTTCCTCCTCCCCACTTTCTGCCCTGCCTGGTAACTCTGGATGAGACCTGGAACAGCCCTGAAGCAGCTGAGCTCAAATCTTAATTATTTATGGAAACACCTCTGCTGTCATCAGCCTTAGGTGAGTTTTCCCTCCCACCCCATCCTTCAAACATCTTTCACCTATTTCTAAAAATAAAGTTAGGATCAGATTTGGCTCTTCTATCCCTGCAAGTGCTCCACAGTGAATTTCCTCCTTTCCCTTGGAAACACAAGCATATGTTGCTTGCAGCATTAGTCTTTTACAGCTTTTGGAAAAAGCACAGGAAAGTGGCCCAGGCTGGTGGTGGGGAACTTTCCAGGCACACAGAGCCCACCCAGGGCATGGAAAACCCAGCAGGAGCCACCTGGATTGGACAGGTTCCACTTTTGGTGATCTGCAGGGGTCCAGCAGCAGCTGGAGATACAAGGACAGGGCCTGGCTGTGCTTCCCAATCCCTGCAGATCTGTGGAAGATGGACACACAGCCAGAAAGCACCAGGGAGGGACAGCCCATCAGTGGAACACGAGTTAAGAGCAGATACAGGCAAACATTCCAAGATCAAAGTGGTGAAATGCTGCAATAGGAGAATTTGGCAAGATTGAGTTTATACATAAAATATAATAATAAATATATTATTTATATTATTATTTATTATATATTATTTATTATAATAAATAATATATAAAAGAAAATATAGTCTTGTCTTTTTTTTCTTTGTCTTGTTTAAGTAAATATCCAAGAGATGAAGTCAACTGCTTAAGTGGTGAAAGATGAAAAAGCTTTGGA